CCGCCTACAAACCATGTACAGACTACGGCCACGTTCACATGTTTTTTGATGGATCATGGAAAGACGAAGATCCCATAAGTGGGGTTGGGTGGACCTTAAAGTTGCAGGATGGAGAAATAGATCTCATAGGGCTAAGAGCCATACGCCGAAGTATGTATCCTTTACACACAGAGCTCCATAGTCTGATATGGGCATTGGCAAGCTTAAGGAAGAAAATGCGGTACTGTACTTTGTTCGCCACCGATTCCCAAAAGTTAATTACCATGGTGTAGAGCCGGACAAGTGGCCGCGTTTCAAGTCAGAGCTGGAAGAATTGAAGGAACTACATGTTTTTTTCCCAGACTTTACCATCAAGTATTGTCCAAGGGAGATGAATGCGCGGACTGATCTACTAGCCCGGCATGCCCGACAAAGGAATGTTGTGTTTTCTCATATTAATACTTCGGTCTCCTATTGGTTTCCAGATACTACGGTATTTGGATAAGCTAGAATTGAAGTGCATTCGTGACCCAAAAAAAAAAAGTAAAAGTCCCCATTTGAAATGTGAATGGTTCGGAGATTCCCCCATTGACCCCTACTTACTAGTCTTTCATCTTTTTTTTTGAACCTTTTTCACGAAATGTGGTTTTGGGAGAGACCGCCAAAGCGTTAAGTTGACTTTGATTAGTCTTTCATCTTTCGGGAAAAAGAAAGAATTTTCTTTCTGAAATACATATATGTTTTGTAACTCAATAAAGTAAAATGGAAGATCTGTCGTTAGCTCTTCAAGTCGTTGGGGGAGTTCTTACCATATAACATAATCTGTTGTTTCGTTTTGCCGAGGTTGTGTATTATAATTTTACACAGTTTAGAATTTTTTTTCTAATTTGACTAATAATACATCTCTACTTTTTCTGTAAAAAATTGTGCTCCACTTATATTTATATAGAAAAAAAAATCAATCCCGATGTTGACGGACTTAAGATATCAAAGAACCATCGAGGAAAGGATCAATGAGAAAAATTAGCAATGAAAACAACACATCCTCGTCTTAGCAATTACTTGACCGTGACCAACTGAACTAGAGTTATTTATTGTGTCCTTGACTTATTTGCACGGTAT